CATAATTTTAAAATATACATATATATATATAACATTTATAATAGCACCAAAAATATGAAATACCTATGTATAAAAGTAACAAACTATGTGCAGGATTTATAGGTTGAAAACTACAAAACACTGATGAAAGAAATCAAAGAGATATACCATGTGTATAGATTGGAAGACTCAACATTGTTAATATGTCAATTATCCTAAACCTAATTTACAGAGGAAATACAATCCTAATCCGAAATTCCAGCAGGATTTTTGTACATATTGACAAGCTGGTTCTAAAATTAATATGGAAAGGTAATGGAACTAAAAGAATCCAACAAATTTTGAAAAAGAAGAACAAAGTTGAAGGATGCATAACACCCAATTTTGACTTACTATAAACATACAATAAGCACAACAGTGTGGTATTGGTGAAAGAATAGGCTTGAATAGAATAAAGAGCACGGAAATAAACCCTTGCAAATATAGTCAACTGATTTTGACAAAGGCAATATCCATGAAGAGAGAATATTTTCAACAAATTGTGGTAGAAAAATTGGAAAACCATATGCATAAAAAATGAACCCAGACACAGACTTTACACGTTCCACAAAAATTGACTGTAAATGGATAACAGACCTAAATATAAAATGCAAAACTATAAAATTTCTAGGAGAAAATGTGGCCTTGGGTTTCCTGAGTTTTTAGATACAACACCAAAAACATAATCCATGAAAGAAAATATTAACAAAGTGAAACCACATTAAAATTAAAAACTTTTGCTCTGAGAAAAATCACTGTTACAAGAATAAAAAGACAAGTCATCAACTGGGAAAAATATTTATAAATCATATTTCGAATAAATAACTTCTAACCAAAATACACAAAATACTCTTAAAACTTAACAATAAGCAAACAAACAACCCAGTTAAAAAATGGGCAAAAGATCTGAACAGATACCTCACCAAAGAAGATACACAGATGACAAGTAAGCATATAAAAAGATGTTCAACATCATTTGAACAATAATGAGATACCAGTACATACCTATTAGAATCATTAAAATCCTAAAAACTGACAGTGTCAATTGCTGGTGAGGCTATGGAGCAACAAAAACTCTCAGTCATTGCTGGCGGGAATATAAAATGGTACAGTCACTTTGGAAGACAGTTTAGCAGTTTCTTACAAAGCTAAACATAGTGTTACCATACAATCCAGCCACTGAGCTCCAAGGTACATATCCAACTGATCTGAAATCTTATGCCTACATAAAAACAAGAATGTTGAAAGTAGCTATATTTATAATCACCAGAAACTGGAAGCAACTAATGTGTCCTTTAATAGGAGACTGTATACACAAACTGTAGCACATCATACAATGGAACACTACTCAGCAATTTAAAAAAAGAGCTGGAACTGGGACAATACAAGGAGGAGGGGTGCAAAGAGAGAGGAGGGGCCCGAAGGAGAAGTGTTTTTCAGTTTAAAGGCTAATTCTGCATGCATCATTTGACTTACTCTCTTCCAAATCCTTGGGAAATATAAGTTATTATTATCTGATTAGAAGGAACAGTGCATGCAAAAGCATGGAGGTGTGAGAGATCATGATGCATTCAACATAACGCAATATTCAATTGGAAATTTGGTTCAGAGCTTAGGAAAGAATTCAAGGTTGGAAATATAGACACAGAAGTTAAATGAACAGTTTATTGACATAAAAAATAATCAAAGGAGATTTCACCAATAAGATGGTCTTCCACATGGATCCCAAGTAAAGTGTTACAGCAAAATTGGAATATACTTCAATTTACAGTTTGACATCTTAAGATTCTGAGAAAGGAATACAGGAAAGAAAGTAGAGTACCTTAAGGTGTCTTGCAACTTCAGGATTAAACAGAGGTGTTTTGATATAATGAAGAAAGAGTGTTGTAATTCTTTTTCTGAGTCCTTCTAGATTATGACATTTGACTCCTCTCATCATAAGGTCAACCTCTCTGTCAATCAATTCTAGAATTTCCTGAGTCAGTTTACATTCATGTTCCTATAAAAAACACAAAAAATAGTCAGTACAGACTTTTTTAAATTACTAAGTAAGTTTTCAAAATTACTACCCGAAACAAACCAAAAACCAGATTACAAAAGAAATGAGACATTGCTGGTAGGAGTATAAATTGGTACAATTAATTTGGAAAAAATGTTGGTATTATCTAGTGAAGGTGAGGATATGCATAAATCTGTGAATTAGTAATTCTGCTCTTACATGCCTTAGAGAAATGTTCATTTACAGACATTGTTCACAGTAGCCAAAAATTAGAAACAACCAAATATCAATAAATAAATTGGTTGGATAAATAGCTTATGGCTTAATCATACAAAGGAGTAGTATCTGATATATGGAAATAAACGAACTACAGCTATATACAAAAACGAGCTTGAATCTTACAAATTAATGTTGACCAAAAGAAGCAAGGCACAAAATAATATATATAGTAGAATTCCATTTAAATAAAATCTCAACAATAAGCAATACTAACCCGTATTATTTAGAGATGTATATAGAGGTAGTAAAACTATAAAGAAAAAATCAAGGAAATGACTACCATAAAAGATAGTATGGGAGCTACTTCTAGGGGAGGAGAGGGAGGATGGTGATTGGGAAGGGACCAGGGGGATATCGGATGTGTTGGTAATATCCTATTTTGGGGTCTGGGTGGTGGTTACATAGTTGTTGGCTGCATAATATTTATTAAACTGTACATATATATTATATGCATTTTTCTGCATGTTTATGTTCGTTCAAAACAACTCTTTAATAAAGTAATGGAAATGAGTGTGGTTGAGTGAGAAAGCTCCCTCTAAGAGTTAAGTAAATAAGGCAGAAGTATTTAACAGCAGTAAAATAGAAGTAAGTTCCTCCACCTGCTCAGAGAAGAACTGGAAGATACAACTCAGGCCCCCAAAATAGGGCAATAGCAACATTTCCAGTGACCCCCTCGTCCCTTCCCAATCACAATCCCCTCTCTCTTCCCATGGAAGTAACTCCCATACTGGTGTTTATGGTAGTCATTTTCTTGATTTTTTTTTTAGTTTCACTACCTCTGTATACATCTCTAAATAATATGGTTTAGTATTGCTTATTGTTGAGATTTTATTTAAATGGAATTATACTGTATGTATGATTTTGTGCCTTTTTCCTTGAATTATGGAGTCAGAGATAAAGTCAGTAACTGTGGAATAACGCTCTTCTATACTTTTTAATAAACACTTGGCAAAGCTGATACAAGAGCTGCTCCCAAAACTTATTACACGAAACAAGTGGATCCAAGCAGCAGTAAGTATAGTGGATGCTGTCATGTGCTGCCCAGATCACCCTCTCTAGGCCTGAAGCACTCATTTCCCCACTCCTGGTACGTTGTTTGCTGACAACTCTTAACCGTGTCCCTCTCTGAGAACTGCTCTCTCAGAAGATAGATACCTCATCCAAGGCCACACCTCCTTCCAAAGGCAGTCGGCATCCAATAAATGGTTAATGTGGGGACTAAAAGGCCTGGCCCCCTTGCCTCAATTTAGGACGACTCTGTAGGGCCTTCCCAGTTTCATTTCAGAGAGAGATTGGCTGAAGCCATTGTTGAGACTCCCTGTAATTTAATTTCTCATCTGCCCAATCCTTCCTTCTCCACTCCCTTACGAGAGTTACTCCAGAAAGCACTCTCCAGCAAACTTCCTGCACACAAACCCCCATCTCAGAGTCTGTTTCTCAGGAAACTTGACCTGCAACATCCACTGATTTCATCTTCATTAAAAGCAGATTAAAAATGCAGAAATCAATAACTGATGAGGGAAAAAAGATTAAAATACTTACACTGATGTTTCTTTTAAACTGCTAAAATAATTTTTTCATTGAAAAAGGACAAAACACGCAGACAATAATTGCTGTTTTATTGAACTAAGTTAAGTATTAATCTCATGCTATATATTTGTATTCATTACACAGATAAGGATATATTTATATTTAAAATATGCTTTGTGCTGTGTTTTCATTTATTATGCATCATATAGTTTCAGAACTTTTACATAAATATTAATGCATAAACTATATCCCCCCAATTTATACCGAAAAAAATTCAGTCACTAACGACATTAAAATTTGTAAATATAAACATTAATAATCTTTATAATCACTTAATGTAAGATACTTTGCTTTATATTAGTATTCACTTAATGTTTTATTGCTAGTGAGCTGAGCTCCAAAACTAAGAGAGCGCTAACGTACCTTCACAGTGTGTTTAAGCGTTAAGAGTACATCCAGCCTCTCATCTTGAGAGATATTTTTCAGCATAATGCATTTATAGATGTTCTGCAGTTCTCTGGCTCTGATGGTGAACTGTGTATCCATCTCAATTATTTTGCCAAAAGGTGTTCTCCATACCTTTGGAGCTGAGCACTTAAAAACAATATTAGGTTTATAATTATCAATTAAAGGCTAAAAAATAATTTTGTTTATTCTAGTAAAAGTTTACCTAAATATCATGTTAATGAGTAAAAATATGTGCCTTTATGAATAAAAGTATCACAAAAATTTAATAAATTGGAGAATCTGTAGACATGCAAAAGTAAAACCTTTTAGAAAAAAAATATGAGAGAGAGCTGTTTGATCTGTAGAAGGATAAACACCGATTCAGGATTTTGTACTAATTTGTATTAACTGGTATGTTGAATGGCTTGATGAGTATATAGAATAATTCATTGCCCCCATGGAAGGAAGTGTGCTATTTAGAATGGTATTAAAAATTATATGCCTGATTGAATTATATTCAGAGAGTGTACGAGTGTGCCTTGACCATGCCTTGCTAATTAAAGACAACTTGGGCAGCAATTGTGATAATCCTCAATATGTTAGACCTAAAGATATAACAAAAAGGGACTCCATGGATTATGGTTTGATTTCCTATAAAAATAAATCTATAGTAAACTCATAATTCTTCACAAAGCAAATGTCCACAGTGAAACAGCTACATTTAGCTATCTTAGCAGTGCTGTGGTTCTTGCCTTCCTGATGATGGCTAAGATTCTCACTTTCTCTTTCTAAATCTGGCATGGTAGCTCCCAACCTAGCCCACCTCCTGAACTGTGGGTCACAGATGGAGCTGGCTGGCCTTGAAGCTCATCTGGAGACTCCCAGGCCAAGAATTCAGAGGCAGACTTAGGAACACAAGCACAATCGTTAATGATGGTAAGTCTGTACTTGCCACGGATTCTCTTATATCATGCCAAGCCTTTAAGAGAAGATGTGTCACCTAGAAATTTCACAGTGAAAACTTACTGTTTGCTCTTCTACTTTAGGGTATATAGCTGCTCAGTTTCTTTCTTTGGTTATAATTTAACAGAAACAAGACTATGCTGATCACATTATTAACTTTTCAGAAGTTGGAAGTTATTTGTTCGCTGATGGTTAAGTGCTTTTGGGACCTGTAGCCCAATTTATGTCACGTTTCCAACTATTTAAATCTGAGATTTGATATAATTTAAAGTTTAAATAGAATCCCTTTGCATTGGAATGCAGAATAGCCAAATAGACACATAATATAGGAGTTCCTTGGTGGTGCAAAGAATTAAGAGCTTGGCTACTAACAAAAAGGTTGGCAGTTCAAATCCACCCAGAGGTGCCTCAGATGAAACACCTGGTATTCTACTTCCTTAAGGTCATAGCCATTGAAAAATACCCATACGCAGTTCTGTTCTGAAACACGTGGGGTCTCCATGAGTTGGAATTGACTCGATGGTTTTTTGGTTTAGAATGACAGTATTATGAGGAATTTTTGATTTACAGCATCAATTTACCTTTACTTTTTTACGCTTACTATTAGCTAAATTACATAGAAAACCACAAATCTATCTCTTTAAAACAACTATAAAAATAATGGCACCATTTTCTAATCAAATCAAAAATGAATGCAGTTCAGAACTAGGAACCTTCATAAGAAACTTTAGATTCTCATTTCTTTTAATCCAGTAAATGTGAAGCTGCATCTCTACAATTAATTTATATTATTAGAGAATAAATCTAATATTAAATAATGTATTGTTAATTAGTGGAGTGATATAATTAAGTAAAACTGATTAAGGATTGTAAAAAAGAAAATAGATCAATAATAAAGTTTTTATCGTTTAATTATTATTACTTAGGAATAAAAAAGTTACTGTTTCAAATGGATACAGGCTCATCTTGGGTTAGTCTCAGAGTGTTACTGAAGTTTAATGCTTGTTTCAAAGCTCTTTCAAAAAGTTTTAAGGAATAGGCAATCTTAACCTCAGATGTCACTTTAAGGACTAAGGTGTGCCTGACCCAAGCCATGGTGTTTTCAATCACCTCATATGCATGCAAAAGCTGGACAATGAATAAGGAAGACCAAAGAAGAATTGATGCATTTGAATGACGGTGTTGGTGAAGAATATTGAATATACCATATACTGCCAGAAGAATGAATAAATCTGTCTTGGAAGAAGTACAGCCAGCGTGCTCCTTAGAATGAGGATGGCGAGATTTCATCTCACATATTTTGGATGTTATCAAGAGGGAACAGAACCTGGAGAAGGACATCATGCTTGGTAAAGTAGAGGGTAAGCAAAAAAGATGAAGACCCTCAATGAGATGGACTGACACAGGGGCTGCCACCAATGGGCTCAAACATAGCAACGATTGTGAGGATGGCGCTGGACCGGGCAATGTGTTTCATTCTGTCGTACACAGGGTCACTATGAGTCGGAACCAACGCAATGGCATCTAACAACAACAGGCTAAGTTCCACAATGCAATTCTAAAGTCTAACTACTGTCTCAATCACTGCATGCAGTTTTCCTCAGGGTGGACTTATTAAATGTAATTTTGTTTATTCCAGTAATAGGGGCAATATCTTTTATTCTGCCTGTGGTAACTTATCTCATTTGTAATAATCCAAGTAATAACCTCTTTATTAAATACCTACTTCATCTACTTCGCATTTTTTTAGCTGATGAATTGAATTAACTCTACCTTCCCTCTAAGTTTTTAGCCCCATCCTAATAAGATACAATACAGTAATATTTTGGATTTTTTCAAATAGTCTTTATAAGATACAGTAATATTTTAGATTTTTCAAAATATATTATACATCCAAATCCTTCCCATCCTTCCATTTTGAACTTACTCTACATTTTCATAAATATTCCTTTAACTACTATGTTTGAACCAATGATATAATTTGTATATGAAATCCTATTTCACTTGTAAAGAAAAACACAAGTAAGCAGTGTCTCTTATTTTATTTACTCAGTCCAATGAAATTTGGATCCAAGTCGTTCTATAAATGTTTTATGTGTGTCAATTCTATTCCTCCCAAAATATTTTAATAAATAAATCTCTCATGGAGCTCTTCTGTGTATCTCACAGCGTCTACAGTGCTCATTCATTCATTTAACAAATATTTACTGAGTATTTACTACATATTAGTGTATACGACGTACCGCGTACACAAAATGTTGTTCTAATTTGAAGAGGTCTCAAATGTAAAGATAAGAAAAAAGTAATTAAAATAAAAGGTGCTTATGCTTGATGATTGCGGGTTGCTATGAAGCACTGAGGAGGGCTAACCAAGCTTAGAGTGGTGGAAAGAAAATAGTATCTAAGAGGAAACAGGAGAATAACTAGCAGCTAGCCAGATGGAAGAGCCCTGGTGGTACGGTGGTTAAGAGCTTGGCTGCTAACCAAAAGGTTCGACTCCACCAGCTGCTCCCTGGAAACCCTATGGGAGACAGCAACAGGAGTCACATTAAAGGGAACGAAGTGATACAATCAAAGGACCCTAGATTTGAAGTTCCAGTCCCGAGGACTGAGACTGAGAAGATGTAAAAATATGTTCGGCAAAGCTGTTTTCATACTAGCATGTTTTGCTGCTGACGCTGATAACTTGGTCTTCAGGTCTAGGCTGCTTTGATTTCAGGCTTTAAGATACTTTTTACCCTGATGCAGGAGAATATCAAGTTTGCTTATTTCTCTTTCCTATTTCCCGTTTCTTTGAGTGCTCTGGCTGCAATAAGAGATGTACAACAATCATGCTCTTAAACTGCTTCAGAGAACAGGAGCGCAATTAATTCCATTTAGCTGCCAACAAATGAGACAGCGCAGACTCTGGAGGAGAGAAACAGAAGAACAGCAGGAAGACACATTTCAGGGAAGGGAAGGTGGAGCAATAACAAAAACCTTGTGAGCAGCGGCTTCCACAAGAGAGAAGAGATGACTACACTGTGAGAGGAGGCCTTTTCTCCCTCCTAAATTAATTCTCAAGTCCCTAAAGGCACAAATTAGGAATAACTTTAACCCCCTAAAAGCTACTGGGTGGTGATCAACTTTTCTTTTACACAGCGAAGGGCTTTTGTTCTACCATAGAGGACAGCCCTGCGTAATGCGGTGCTCAGAAAAGAGGTGAGAGTCGGTTCCATTTTTCTATTCCATTAGCTGTTGGCCACCTGAGTATGGAGGAAAAAACATTTAAATGACACAGCTAACATGGACTGCAGTTTTTAAAGCCTGTGATTGTGAGAAGTGGTACACGAATCAAAGAGAATCAAACAAATAAATGGCCTTGAATCTGGGGAAAACCTCCTACAGAGATTCAAACAGTCTCTTTACACAGTTTCGGTCAAGAGCCCCCAAGATAGATTAGAAACTGGCTGATGATCTTTCATTCAAATTTCTTGGCCTGAAGTCTTTACTTGTTAGCCTGTGAGTTTTTAACATATGATGACCTGGGGAAGTCAACGTCTGATGTGCTAAAATTACAAATTATCTAACCAATGCTTCTAAAAAATCTGCACATAAACCCTTTTATTAAGAATGAGAGCTGAGTATAGAATCCATAGTCACTGATTTGCTCAGTGCCTTGATTAGACTGATTTGAATCATCATTCAGTACTATGTTCAATGTAAGAAGATAAAAAATCAAAAACTGTCTCCATAAATCCTATAGTATTTGACTCGATGAAATTAAACTAAAACCAAAACTAAAATTTTACTCTCTAAAGTTATTCCCAAATTAAGAAAAAATAAATATTTCTCTATACATATCTACAGGTTACAGTGCTTGATGTGGCTCTTAATATCTGTGTTAGGACTCTGATAGTTTTGACATTTGAAAAATATCTGACCTTGTCTGGCTTCAGGGATGAATTATGAGTTATTTTTTCTTAGCAATATAAAAAAATTTCTAGAATAATAAGTTACTACAATCAAATTATCTGAAATCAACACATTTAATGGACCCTCCTAAATATTAGAGACAATGCTTAGCATGGTGGGTGGGGCATAAAGAAGAACAGCTATTGTATTTACAACAGAACACTAACTATAAAATCTATCTTAATTGTTTTTTATGATGCTTAGTATGGCATCATATATGCTTAGTATACAAAACGATGATTAAAAATGATCTTGTATTAGAGTAATAACAGATTTTAACATTTGCCATAACTTG